CAGAAAGTAAAAAAAGAAAGTGGGAAAATGGCGTAAGCTAATTAATTAATACAACTATTATGTGCTGTATATATTTTGTTTTATCAGAAGAAAATAATTACAATGATCACAGTAATACCCCTAATTATCCGCTGACCCAATTGATTAACACGATGTATGAAACATTTCAGATTTTCAGAATACCATGAAAACGATTTTCTTAATTAATTCTAGCCGTAAACAAATAACACTTTTTATACGTTTTGGTACTTTCACAATATGAAAATGTGAAAAAGTTGGAATTAAAAATTGAAAAAAAGAGAATTGATGATATTGATAGAAAATCAGATACTGACGATATGCTTCCATCATGGACAAAAAGGAGTTAAAAAAAGAGAGAGAAAAAAAGCTGAGCATATGCATGTGTGAGCATTTTGTCTAACAAAGATGCTCTGTCGGTAAAAAATCATTTAATTGGCTCCACACACCTAATCATCCATCACTTCTCTTTAATTTCATTAAACACACACAAAATACGTACTACTCTATGATTTGGCACCAAGTGGGGTGGCCTCATTTTTGTACGTTTCTTCATAGCTATAAATTTTAATTTTGTACAAGGGAATATGTGCCAAGTGTCTCCGCACATGTATTATGTATATGGTCATGGGAATGTATGTCACATATTACCTACCTAGAGGGTCAAACTTATAAGTATGAAAACATTAATTAAATGTTATACCATCGTTCAGCTTCATGCATGTTTTATGTCAAATAGAAATGGCCATGTGAAAGCCAGAGCCTCAACGAGAACTTGACACTTCTAAAAGTATTTGAATAACACATTCAAATGGTTCAGCGTATCTAGTAGTTAATTGATAGTCAATATTTTTTTTTTTACATTATAATTACACAAAGATACATAAATAATTTGATAATTTTTAGTTATCGTTTACTAAATTTTTACTTTTATATTCTTTGTTCTTAACATTTTCATAGCCTTTGGTTACACTTATTTAAATAATCTAAAATATATTTTATTTACTTTTGACAATAAAATAAATAATCTTCAATTATTTTTGTCCAAAAAAAAAGAAAAAGAAATATTTTTAAAAAGTACTCCAACATCCAAATTAATATTTGTTTTAGACAAGTCAACCCAATTAATGTCATAATAAATATAAAAATTATTTTTTTTTCTTAATACGTCATTATTTATACTAACTTTATTGGACTTGGACCTTGACGGTAGATTCATTAATTACTTAATTATTTTTACCAAGATTTCTGTAGTATTCGTGAATTATCATAGTCCTTGCCAGCAATTCGAGGAGTATTCGATTTTACCCTTCGACCAACTTTTTCTAGTATACAAGCCCCATGCTTTCAAGATTTTTTAATCATAAAATCAAAGAAAACCTAACAAGTTTGTCGTTTCACATGTTTCATAGTCTTTGTTCTTAGCATTCTCCTAGCCTTTGGTAATAACACCTACTCATAGAGTCTAAAATACACTCTATTTACCTTTGATAGTGAAATAAATAGTCTTTGATCATACCTGTTCGAGGAGGAAAAATGAAATATCTACAAAAGACATTCCAACGCTACAATCAGTCTTTGACCTCAAATAAGTCAATGTAATTAATGTTGTAATAAGTGCAAAAAATACTTTTTTATCTTAATATGTCATTATTTATACTAATTTTATTGGATCTAGACCTAGATGGTAGACTCATTAATTACTTCACTACCTTTACATAATCCTCAATATGAGAAATATTCAACCTTACCTTTTGACCAAACCCTTACAAAATAGAGATGAAAACATTATCAAAGTAATAATTTGTCTTTAGTCATACTATAAGTACAAAATATCTATTGTTAAAAATAGTGATTAATTTCTATTTGAAAACATTCACATAATGTGAGTATTTCTTTATATAATATATTTTATACTTAAGATCAATTTTTTTTAATAGTTTTTCTTAAATAAGAAAAATATATTAGATAGTGGAATACAAAGTTGATATTTTATTTATTTATTTTGAATAAGGAAATATTGCTCTTTTTCAATATAATACTTTATTTATTAATAATATATATGGTTTTGAGAGAATGAAGTGCCTGTAAATGTCCTAGTCTCCTGTCTGTTGTATTATTAGGAAAAAAAAATACACATTCATTGCAAGATTCAATGGTTATATCCTGTTCATTTTTTAGGGGTATATAAATGTGTTGTTTCCAAGAAGTATCGTTTCTCTTGTATAATATTACATCGAAAAAAAAAAGGTTTTCCGGTAATTTCATTTTAGAAGGTGAGTGCTATATATGTTGGAAAAAAAAATCATGATCGAACAAAAGAAAAATTCCTTAAATTAAGCATATATATATATATATATATATATATATATACA